TCAAGCTATGTAAAAGTGTAGCAATAATGTTCTTTCAAGCATGTATTCACACATGTGCAACTAAAATATAACTACACGGAATGCCTGTTCATTTAAAATAGTTGAAAAATGTTTTATCTCATAGAATATTTATTAATAATTTATCAAAATGTATTATTATTATTATTATTGTTATTGAGTGATAATTTAACTTTATTGATCTCACATTGGAGAAATTTACCTCTGCATTTAACCCATCCCCTTGGGGAGCAGTGGGCTGCCATCATGGTGCACCTGGGGACCCAGAGTGGCAGTCTGTGGAAGTGGGGCTCCAACTCAGAACCTCAAGGTTCCAAGCTCTATGCCCTAACCTCTAGGCCCCTACTCCCCAAAATTTTTATTTATTTATTTATTCATTATATTTATTTATTTATTTCATGCATTTTTTAAATTCAAATGTTACAATCCCTCCATACTAACGATCCTAACAAAATCACGGGATACAAGGATGCCTAAAAGTTGATTTATAACGTGGAGTAAGACAAATTAAACATCTTACATGTAGGGTTCCAACATCTTGCTGACATCTGCTGTCAATTATGAGGAACTGCAAGTTGATCAACTAGTTATTGTATCTTGTTTCATAGTACAAGTCAATCCATCCATCCGTTTTCTATCATGCTTATCCCAAGTGGGGTCATGAGGGGTGCTGGTGCACCCACTATGGGCAAGAGGCAGGGTACTGTACACCCTGGGCAGGTCGCCAGTCCATCACAGAAACACAGGACAAACAACCATTCACACACACCCTCACACCTAAGGAGAATTTAGAAAAGCCAATTAACCTAAGAGTCATGTTTTTGCACTGTGGGAGGAAGCCAGAGTATCCGGAGAGAACCCAAGCATGCTCAGGGAGAACATGCAAAACCTGTGCAGAAAGACCCCTGGCTGGGAATTAAACCCAGAACCTTCTTGCTGCAAGGCAGCAGTGCTACATACTTTACCAATGAGCAGCCCATAGTACAAGTCAAAAGTATATATATATATAAAAAAAAAAAGAACATAAAGTATAACAGGGGATAGCAGATTTTTTCGCTGTCTAAAATAACACATACATCAAGTTAAACGTCATATATGTCATAGCAAACTTTAATGTTAAACTGAGTGGGATTAAGGCAAAAGCAGCATCGTGCAGAACCAATCATTTGAACCATGTCAACTAAACAAAGGAGATGACTGCAGATCTTAGAACGAAATAGGAAGAAGTGGATGTGGTTGAGAAGTATGTATACCCAAATGTTAAATACATCCAATTTATCAAATGAGAATACTTTATTAGTATTAAAGAGAACTTTAAAGATTATGAAAGAAGTTGCAAAAGATCTAAGAGTCTGATTCCTCATATTATAATCTCACTAATTGTAAAGTTGCATCTTAATTACTTTAAAACTAATTTGAAAGCTTAACATGTTTATTCGAAATAGAAATAATTTAATAAGAGATCAAAATTTATAAGAGGACATAAGAAGATATTTTATTTTGAAAGTTTTATGCAGGGTTAGGGTAACTAACATGGTGTATTAGTAATGCCTTAATAAAATTAACAGGACACTTAACATTAATTAGCACTATTATTGTATATTTATATACATACATTTTGTTAATTATATGTAAAATGTGTGTATTTTGACAGCTCTGAAGAAATGAGATCTAATTATTAAATAATATGATTAAGAACAATTAACCAATTTTAATTTGAATAAAAATTAGTCACTGCAGAAATGCTTACTGCACAGAAATGTGAAAAATTTGAAAAAATATAAAGCCTGTCAGGAGACAACTGAGAAAGATTTAAAGTTATTAAGAAAAATAATATAATAAATAAAGTATAAGGGTTAAGAAGCACTTAAAATGCAAGATTTTCTTAATAGCGTTATGTCAAAAGATGAAATGTCAGTTGAACATATTTTCAGCACTGCTTCTTACTCATAGCCCAAAATTTGCCCATCTGAACATTTCCCGGAGACATTTATTTTTCTCATATCACTAGATGTCACTATTTACCACAAAATCAAACACACCTGGTATGTAAATTTGAAAAAAAAAAAAAAAGTAGATGCTGAAATTATATTCATTTTGGTAACTTACTGCTTTATTTTTCTAGTTAATTTCAACTCTTCTCTGGGTGTAAAGAGCTTTTCTCTCTTTCCCCAAACATTTGAAGGCCATGGCTCTAAAGTTGTAAAACCTTGTCCTCTCTATGTTTGGATTTTACATGTCTTTCATCAAGGTGACAAAAACAGGCTGGGGGTTTCACACTGAGATGATGACCAGAAGATGAATTCACAGAAACTTCTGACTTCTCTCTTCTTCCGTCATCATCCCTTTTCATGACCAGAAGGTCCAGAAAATGATTAAATGTGTCCAGAATCTCACTGCAGACATTTAAAACTCCTCTAAAAACTTATATTAAGTAAAATGTATGTAAAAAAACAAAAAAGCAGAGCACATCCAACAAAACTTTTTATTTATCCATTTTAGATCGATATATAAGATTGATTTAGAAAAAATGATATATTTATCTAAAAAAGCACAAAAAGAAAGTTTCTGACTTGTTCTGATATGAATAAAATCCCCAAGCTTTTTGTTTCCTATGTTCTCTATATTTACACGTTTTTGTCAGTCATATTAAATTATAGGGGTACATTAATAGAGTTGTTCCTTTATCGTTTTCCTTTTTTATTGCATTTTTAATTTGACAGATTTTTTTTTATCATAAATTTTCAATTTTAATTTCTTCTAAATTGAGACCATTGCTTATTTCTCCACAACAAAATGACAATTATATGATCAAATATTTACATTAGAAACAATGAAAATGCTCCTTTTCAAACCTTTAAGAGGCTTTGCAACATTTAAGTGTTTTCTTTTTGCTTTGATCTCAAAATCTTGTTAAAGTAGAAAAATATTAGAAAAGCAAATGTATTTTTTTATTGAAATAAAAATAAATAAATAAAATAAAATAAAAAAGAAAAGCAAATGTAGATATTTGATGAGTCTAAATTTTGATGATGCACCTTTTGTTTATTATAACACAAAATTATGTTTTACTTTACATACATTTTTAAAACATAATTTCTATAGCACAATTTAGGGGCAAGTAATTTAAAATATTGTACACGAGAGGAAAAATATGAAGAAAAGTACCCTGCGTTGGCATGGAAGCAACACAAATAGATAAAGAGAATAAAAGTGATGCAGTAGAAAAAGAGGAGTGGATAAAAAAACAGATATAATAATCAGAAAAAAAAATGTGAAAAGAAGAAAAACAGAAGTGTTGAAGTCTATTATCAGAGATATGGGGAGCCAGAATAACTGGAGTGATGTGCTTTACTTTCTTAGTTATTGTGAGGATACAGGCAGCAGAATGTTGGATCAACTGCAACTGTCTGATAGCCTTATTAGGCAGAACTGTAATTAATTTACTAAGGTTAATACATGTTGTGTTTCAAGGTCCTGCTGAGAAATCAGTAAATTAATCCTGGAGATTTTGGTAGATTCCCCAAAATCAAAAGATTAAAACATATGATATATCATGAAGTTTTTTTTTTTGTTTTTTTTTACATAATGAAGAAAAATGGCCAGACCTTTGTGTACTCACCATGAATTTCTAGATGCTGTTACAAACAAACAAACAAACAAAGGACAAATGACACCAAAGCTGGGGTAACTGATCCTTATTCTGTGCCTTCCAAATCCATGTGGTCAAATACTGAAACAATCAAAGCCCCGCCCCCTGAGAAAAGAAAATCACCTTTTTTCCTTGGAAAGGTCCCTCATTCCTGGCCTTATAATCTTGAACCAGTGCCAAAAGGTGTCACTTTACTGCTTTAGAGCAGTAGTTATCAAACATGGTCATTGGGACCTTCTGTCCTGCATGTTTTAGAAGCGTCTCTGCTCCAGCAAAACTGCATTAAACCCCTGCTTTAGAGTTTTGGTGGAGCCCTAACCCTATGTTTGGCCTTAGTTTTCACATAGAGTGGATCTGCACCAAAATGTTGCAGCTTAAATTAGTTGTTATTTTTTCATATGTTAAAAAAATATATATATTTTTATACACTTGCTCTATTGAACATGTGTTATTGGTAATTTGCTAAGTTTTGTTTTCTTTTACATTTTAAACCTGTGTAACACATTTGGCTTGTGTTGTGTTTTATAAACCAAGGACATCCTATCAGATCCAGGGCAAAAAAAACTGAAACTGGGTGGAGCTACACATAACAGGTAAAGCACTGGTCTAAACCAGGTCATTATCATGAAGTGATCTGATATTTCCTGGAGAATAATGCTCTGGGCATTCATGAATCATACATGTTTGAAATCCAGCAAGGAAAAATGAGATTACATATTGTTAAGGTTTGGAGATAACTGACCCGTATAACATTTGTGAAGTTTCTAATTTAACTAGTATACCTCCGCCCTACATTTCTCTGTGCTTTTCTCAGGGGTTTTCACTTTCTTTTCACTCCATCCTTGCATTGTTCTCACATCCAATCCTTTGGGTTACACTTAGGTGAAGTCAGCTTCTCAGATCACAGTAAAGGCATTGTATCCACTGTCAGTACACTGCAGACACCAGGGTCTGCTGCATGCAAAGCACACTGGGCTTTCAGGAAGAACTTATCATTCATTGAAGATATGAGACCAAATATTGTACAGATAGGTAGATGTGTTTCCAAAGAGAGCACGAATGGGGTTGTTCTATTGAGTATACCTCATATTTGTGATGAAACATCAGTTTTATAAAGCTGCATTTACCTGTTAACTATAATTTTCAGACCCCTGAACTGATACTTTCTCACCTTTTAAATAAGCTTTAAAGGTTATGTTGGTTTGATCTCGTGACTCCCCTCAGTTATTCAGCTGGGTGTCACGTTGCATCCCTCTTATTGTTTGCAGAGGGGGCTGGATTCCTTGATGGCTCCTCCCCATTAAATAGTGTTACAGCCCTGCAGGACTCACCTGTGGAAGCTTGAGCAGCAGCAGCAGTCACTTTCACCACCAAGAAGCAGACGTCAGCTGAGCAGAGCAAAGAAAGACCTACTGAAGATTTATAGCACATTTAAGTACCGCTTTAAATTTGGTAAGTTCTCTACCTATAAGGTTTGATTTAACGGCATAATTCCAACTTTATCTTAAGAGAAAACCAACCTCCAACCAAGAAATTATGCATTTATATACAGCATTAACTGCATGTTTAATATTTTTTTTGCATGTTAACTATTTGTGTTTGAAATGTTAAAAATAATACAACATAAACATCATAAAAAACATTTTACTTAACATAAACTCGGGCCTAACACAATTATATCCATAAACATTCTAGTTATAAAGTTACCAAATCCAAATTATTAGAATAGAAAAGAATTCCACTTTATTGTCATTACTCTGTCACAAGTACAGAGCAAGCAATTGTAGTATCTGTAACTTACAGTAAAGTGATAAAATGGACTGTTAATAAGAATTTTATGCAGTTGATTAAACATTATTTAAAGGAGTCTAAAGGAGCAACCCTGAGATTTGACTTAGTTTTCAGAGGTTATAAAGATTCAGTTTCAATTCAAGCTTAAGCAACAGAGGCAGACATTTATTCATACATCCTTAGCAGAGATGCCAGGTTAAACTGAATGATGAATTTAAACCTTTTAATAGCATATTAAAAAAAGGTTTAAATTAGTTTTTCTTAAAACAAAACTTAAAAAATTAAACATGGAAGCCTAAATACTGATGCAAACTTTTTCTGTGGTTATGCAGAAACAAACTATTTTGTTTCCGGTATAATTCTGGGTGGATATTTGATCACTGTTGTTGGTTCATACTTCAGGGTGGTTTCCTGCCTCAGATCCAACTATTCAAATAAGTAGTGTGAGGATGGGATGAAGCCATTTCAGAAGTTTTCTATCAGCTTACATTACCCATTCCAAATACCTGTTAGGTGTTTGATTGTACTGCCCAGCAGCCAGCCACATAGCTGTTGATTTTGGTTAACATTTAAGAGTTTGGTGGTAGTTCTCTGTTTACATCCATTTTGTGCAATGCACCAGTAAAAGCAGACCTCATCCTAATACTTCACCCAACATTCTAAAAAAAATCAGAATTGCTTTCCTAGGTCACCTTTACTCATAATAAAAACAAAAAACTTAAATTATTCAAACATTAATTTTTTTAATTCTAGAAAATGTTCTCAAAATTTGTCCACCTAGTCACAAAACTTTTATTTTTTTTCAGCTTTTATTGTCACTACACTGTCAAAAGTATAGAGCAATGAAATTGACTCTCTGCATTTAACCAATCCCCTTGGGGAGCAGTGGGCTGCCATTGTGCTGCGCACAGGGAGCAGTGTGAGGTTAAAGGTCTTGCCCAGAGACCCAAAGTGGCAGTCTGTGGGAGTGGGGCTCAAACTTAGAACCTCAGGATTCCAGGCTCTATGCCTTAACCACTAGGCCGCCACTCCCAGCCACTCAATCTCCAGAGGGATTCCTGTTTTTTTTGGGATGGCTGCAAGCCTCAACCTAAGGGTTTCAGTATTAAAACATTGGCTCCTCCCTCAGTTGCTTCCCACTTAAATGGAGTTAAATGCCTTCTTTGTTGCCTGCTCCAAAATGCTATTAAAAGTTCATGGACTTAAAACTATGTCAGTGAAAGAAAGCCCAAAAATATTATTGATTTCTACCACTTTTTGCCAAGAAAATTAGTCAAAAATCCTACTAGAATTATGATAGTCATTTGTATATAGTCATGGCTTTCATTCTAATTTGCTTGAGTGCTTTCAGATTGAAGATGACAGTTCAGAATTTATTATTTAAACCCTTTGTGGAGAAACGAAGACTTTACAGCAAAATGAAACTTGTGCTTCCAAATATTGGTTATCTTGAAATTGTATGTGGTGTTATCATTTCACTCTTAAAAAAAGACCAGTTCAAATGCCTAACATCAACAGCAATTACTTCAAATTCATATTAATTACTCTCCAGAGGGCACAAAAAAAAATAAATAAATAAATAAAAACAAAATCAGCTAAAATATTGAAGGCCTAATTCCTCATTAGAAGCCAGTTTTCATAATTCTACAATAAGGAAGAGTCTGGACAAAATTGTAATTGTGGAAGAGTTCCAAGATAAAATCCCTCGGTGACTGAAAATAACAAAAAGGCAGTATAATCTGTGAAATTATGTAATAAAAATGTGAGATCCTTTCAAATGTACAGTATCCACTTTGTAATATTATAGTATAATATAGAAATTAAGAAAAATAAACAGTCAAATGTGTTGAATGTATAGTGATAATCTGGGGATTTTCTTTTGCTGTTTTTGGTGCTTAATGGACCACAACTGCTGGAAAAAAGCCAAGTGTATCATAAAGATTATAAAGAAATACCTCATTTATCAAAACTGATGCAAATAAAGGATCAATTTTTAACTTATATGGATTTTTTTTAATTTGTCAGAAAGTTCAAGACAACTCTAATTTTAAAAATTCAACCTTTCTGTCAATTATTTTAAGGTCCAGGCTTTAAAGGGGTAAGTTCATCCTTCTAACAGAACAAAGAGGAATGTTTAGCTATCATTTTCAAGCTTTCAGCTCCAAGAAACTTGGGTTATGAAATAGGAAAATTAGCCAAAGCAAATAGGTAGGTCAATGGCCTAGTTAAAGACTGAAGTTAAATCTAAAAGAACTGTGTAGCATAATCTCAAACACTTTGTTTATGGTTTAAAACCCGTTCAAACCCTTGATTTCAAACTACTCTTCATAGAAGAGTGAGACACAATGTCTGCACAGTCATTGCTAGTAATAATAAACATTGATGGTAGGTGTTGCTGCTAAGTGTGGTAGAAACAGTTATTAGGTTTAGGCCGCAATTACTTAAAAAAAAAAGGGATCGATTGGTTCCTTTGGTATGCAGTATGAAATTATCATTCGTGAATTATTTCATTAACTCAGATGTAATTTGTTTTATAATTTGAAACATTTCAGTGTCACAAAAAACAGGAGATCAATCAGGGGACTCTACGGTGATTTCTGCTCTAAACTGTGCTGATTTGAAACACTCTGATTCAAAACAGCACACTTTAGTGCTGCTGCTTCAGAATGAGAGGGAAACAGTCTAAAGCTAACATATATAGATCAATCAGAGAAAAAAATGTGCAGTGATTGTATAATGTTTAAAGGGCAGGTCAGCTTTGGTGTAGACTATTCTTAGAGATGGCCTCTGAAGGGCAGCACCAGAAAGAAGGGGTTCAAAACCCACTGAAAGTTTGCAGAATTCACATATATACATATTTTCTTGACAACTTCTTTTTAGATTAACAGAGATAAGCTAACTGATTTAAAACTTCTGCAGAGACCACAATGGCCTCCACTCTGTCAGTGCGCAGCGTTTCAGTGCGTCAGCCCTCCTTCTCCAGCGTCACAGTGAGGGACAGTGGGCGCAGTCTCCGCTCCAAGGCCTCCGTCTTCCCTCTGTCCAGCGTCAACATGCTGTCATTGTCCCGCTCTGTCTCTATGGGAAACGGCCTCAACATTCTGGGTTCCAGCCTTTCAATCAATGGCCTTGGGACAAGCGAGAAAGAGACCATGCAGGGCCTGAATGACAGGCTAGCCAACTACCTGGATAAGGTAAGGTCACTGGAGAGGTCTAACACCGAACTGGAGGTGAAAATCAAGCAACTCATGTTGGAGAAAACTCCAAAAGGGCACGACATTGAGGGGATGATGGCACAAGCACATGCCATCGGGCAAGAGGTCAGTGATATGTTTCAAGATTTCTTACAGTTAAACTCCATGGGACAAATCCCCCCACCATGAGCAATCTGACCTGAATTTAAACCATGTTTTCTCATACAGGTGAGAAAGAGGACACTGGAGAATGCTCGGATCATGCTGGAGATTGACAATGCCAAACTAGCAGCTGATGATTTCAGGGTCAAGTGAGTTTCATACAGAGGCTTTTTTCTCCCTTACTACCATCCTGTCAATGTTCACATGGGAGTGCCAGACAACAAAGCATGGGAATAAATGACCTTTCTGTCAGGCTGTGAAATAAGAGCCCCCTTCTCACGGTGCTCAGGCACTGAAGAACCAAGAAACAGCAGTTAGAGTTGGTTCGTACAGATTATTGCGGTCAGAAAAAATGTCATCTGCTTCCAAAGAGCAGAGAGGGTAGAGTCAAAAAAACGCCCACTTGGTTTTCACATTGTGTCGATGGTATGTAGTGTGGTGTAATATGACTGGCAGTGATAAACTCTCATTAAAGTTTCTGTTTACATGCAGATTTGGTGTTTTACATATGTTTGTGAGATATTTTTCATGATATTTAACTTTCTTGCATCAAGTTTTCTAACTGACAACAAAACTAAATAAATATAAATACTGTATGTGAGAACTTGCTCATCATTTGATCAGTTTTAAACTTAGGCTATTTAGTTCTGGACCTTGGTGCTTCTGGCCTACTGAGATAAAACAATATTGATAGAAACAACTGATTCATGAAAACATCTGAATTTGCTTCAGCTGCAGTTATTAGAAAAAGGTTTTAAAAACTCCTCATGCCTGCAGGTGCTTCAGAGGGCTCAATAGGCAGGAAGCAGAGCACAACTTGGACAAGTCGGCTGTTCAAAAGTTTTTTGCATGTCTTATATGCAATGACAGGAATGCATCTTTGAATATTTTGGACAGTAAATTGTTGCATGCGCTGGGAGAAAATCCAAACTCTACACAGAGATTTAGGTTTAGGAAATTCTAATTGCAAGGTACCTGTGCAACTATGCAGCACTGTTATTTACAAAGACTCAACAAACAACTTCTAGAGCCAACTCAAATAACAGTATCTAAGAGTAATGGTTTTAGTGATGCTTTTGTTCATGTATTTATACCTATATCTGTTCATTGAGGTATGCAGCTATTTATTTCTGCACAATTCTAGTGGAACCTTAACTTGCAGCTCATTTATTCTTTACTTTATCCACCTTCTGTGAGTAGATTTGCCATATAGAGGATTATTTTCTTCCTAATCCTACATTTTCCAGATTAAAATGTGATGCAATTGGTTGGATTCTTTGTGGCGAGGTGTCTAGTTTCTGTAACTTCCAAACAATTTGAAATCATCACCCTTTTTCAACAGTGCTTGACAGATGTCAGGACATATACATGTATTTGTAGATTAATTGTTTTGTGTTTTTCCTGAGCATGATATGTTGTTCAGTATGGTCAACCTTCTCTTCTTTGGTTTCATTGAGTTAGACTACATTATTCAAAATTTCCTAAAAGAGGGACTTAGGAGCAAATTCCGCCTGAATTTACATGTGTGAAGTAAAGCAAGTACAGCTCCCAAACTATAAATTGGAAGTATAATTGTTTGTTTTTGTATGACAGAATGGCATTAAGGAATATTTTTTTCAGGTGGAACCACTATTCTAAATGTCACCATGTCTGATTTATAGGTAATTAAACAAAGAAAAAATGAAAAATATTTAGCCTCGCCAAATTTTTCCCAAAATAATTGCAAAACACTATGAAACCCCATTTGAAACTCTGGATGAACAATCAGACTTTATAAATCCACATCTTGACTGCAAGTTAAGCAAATTTGGACTGAATAAATTCAAGAATGTTTGTTCCACAAAGGTTTTAGTTGGCAGTGTGATTTTGACACAAATCTGATTTTGACACAATGCCAAAAGTGCAAACATGCATTTTTTCACTCATAAAAGGGAATGTAGCCAGACAAATATGCTGATTTACACTACTGGAGACCTCCTGCATAAGACAAAGCCTTTGCTCCAATGATTTAGCTGTTGTTTCATTGAAATCTACCAATAATATCACCCAACTGAGTAGAGAATAAGAATAACAGAGCAAGCTTATATAACGTTACATCGCACAACTACCTCCGACCCCTCCTTGGAAAGGTCTGAGCCTCTAGGTTCCAATGATGCTGGCCTTTAGGGGGTGTGGCTAAAAATTAATACCTGCTGTTGCATTACTCCTGCAGAGTCACACATGTCATGTGGAATTTTAAATCTTATTTTTTTTACACAGCTATAAAACAAAAAGTATTTGTGAAAAAATTATTTTGAAACATGTTTTAGAAATCTTAAAGCCCCCTTTGAAAGGCATTTGGACGAAACACCATGTGACTGTGTTTTGGCCATTTCTATTAATAGATAAACACGAGCAGGTGACAGCTGGGCCCTGTACCGGGCCTGCTGGGCTCAAGGGGTGGAAACCCTGGCCAATTGGGATCTTCCTAACACCCAGCAGTAGTTGCATCTCTCCAGTTAATGCTGATGTCTTTCATACAGCATATTTAATCAGAGGGACCCTTTAAAGCAGCAAGACACAGCTTTTGTTCTTCCCATGCCTTTAAAATGGTATGTTTTGAACTTTCTTTTCTACCTCTCTCTTTTTTCCCCTGCAGATGGGAAGCAGAGGCCTCCCTGTACCAGTCGGTAGAGAGAGACTGCCAGGCTCTAAGGAGAGCAAAGTCAGACCATGACCAAATCATTGCCACGCTGAGAGGAGACCTAGATAGCCTCAAGGAGGAGCTGTACTACCTCAAGAAGAATCATGACGAGGTGAGAAGACCTCAGAGGTCTCAGCAGAGGCACCTCATCCATTAAAGCGTATTTTTCTCCCATAGGAAGCACCCAGTAAAGGTGTCCAGAAGCCAAGAGCGATTGAGACAGTAATGTTTTGCAGCTGAGAAACATTTACTGTCTGGAAGTATCATTTTTTTAAATAAAAGTTTCCTGTATAGGATTTAGATTAAGTACATTTGGTTTACTGAGCTGAGGAAAAGGTTCCTGTGTCTCTGTCTAATTGCAACAAGCAGATATGACAGTGGGCCAGCCATTGTTTACTATTCCAGTCTTGGCACATGGTCAACAGTGTCTGAAATATGACATAAGTGCAGAGTGAACACAGACACACCCTTTGTCATCAGACAGGACTCAATCCAGCTGCAGACACCTGGAGTGTTTAGACAGTCAGGCGTGGTGTCCAGGATGTCACATCTGACTAAATTAAGTTTAACATTACAGTATTACAACAGTGTTCTACAATTATCATGTGGAAAATTATATCATTTATTAGCTAAATCCGTGTTGATTGAAAGAATTCTGCCTTAATTCCTTAGTTGGTTTCCTTTAAAGGAGTAAACTTAGGATTTTAAGTAATTTAGATTTTCTGTCAACGAAGTCTAACCCATGCCTTATATTATTATTATTTTTTTTTTTGTTATCGGTTAAGAGATATATCACCCCATAAAATTAAATAATAATAGCCAGAAATGTTTAATTTAATTTATTTTGTTATATGACAAAGTGCAAAGTTGGTTATGTGTTTTCCATCACTCATCATTATAATGCGGCAGTCCAATTAGACATCAAAACATGCTGCACTGTAGTTCTCATAGCATTTTGTGTTGCTTTTACTTACAATCAGACATTTCATTTTCAACCATAAAAAATGTCAATTTTGATGACAGTTTGTTTGGTAGGGATTTAGGACTAAGAGATTGTATAAATACAGTATACAGAGATCATTTTGGAAGCTTGAACCTAAAAGTTTTTCCTGTTTATGTTGCAAAGAAGCTTTTGTTTGGTTGGAGATTTATAGATTAAAGAAGAAAGCCATTTTCTATTATGAAATAATAATATTTCAACTAAGCCGCTGATTTTGAGTTTCTAATAGACCAAAGCATCATTATACATTATTCATTTTTAAGGTGATATTCGTAGACATGGTGAAGTCTTATATTGGACCCTGTTCAATAAATTCCTCCTATGCACCATATCTTCTACAATAATTTTTCTAAATTCCATAAATGGTAAAAGAAGTAAATTTATAGAGGGCTTTTCTAGTCATACTGACCACTTGAGTGGTTGAGTGTTGGCTTAGTGGTTAGAGCAGTGTACTTGTGCTCTGAGAAGGTTACAAGTACCCAGTTCGATCCAAAATGCGTGCACTCTGGGTTCCTGAGAAAAACTCTTAACCCTTATCCCCTTGGGGAGCAATGGCAGCCCACTGCTCCCCAAAGGAATGGGTTAAAATGCAGAGAGAGGATTTCCCCATTGTGGGACAATAAAGGGATTTACATTTACACTCAGAGAACTTTACGCTATATTTAAGCTCTCAAACACACATATAATCAAGCACAATTCACAGATCAGTATGAAATTTGGCATTAAGTGCCTTGCCCAGCGCACATCAAAATGTGAGACAAGGATGATATAATGAACCTACACTGGACGGCAAGACAACAGTGAGCCATAGTGGCCCCCAAAGATACTTTATTGAGGATTTGATAGTTTTTTTAATATGCTTTTTTGAACAGTTTTGCATATTTAAAAATGTATTAAACTATTGTAATAAAGTCTTATTCTATTAATAGCTGTCCAAGTTTGATAAACATTAAAAAAAATAAAAATTAATGTTGCAATCCCCTAAAGGTGTCTACTGTTAAGACTAAAATGTTGGATTAATATTCAATGTCATCTTTTAATTTGAGCTTCAGATTGGGTGCGTTATTAACCTTTTATCTCCGTCCTGCCAGACTGTTGGTTTAAATCAAATCTACATGTATTTTACATTTCTAAAAAAAGAATAAAATAAAATAATAAAATAGAGCCAATGAGTGTAACAGATAGTGATCTTCTAAAGTAGATATCATCCCTTAATATTTCTCCACAAAACACACTTCCTCTAACTGTTGAACAAACACAGCAAGAAAACTGAAACGTATGAAGTATTGCATGTTATATTTTCCTTTTCTGTTTTTTTTTTTTTTTTTTTTTTTTTTTTTTTGTAAATCACGCTGAAAACATCTAGAGAAAAGCTTGTGAACATATTTCAGTGACAAACTCTCTGCAGCTGGGGGAGTTTGCAGCTTCACTTGAGTGGGTCAAAGCTGAGCGGTCTGTCTTATCTTATCTGTCTCTGTGTGAAATCAAGGATCAGTTGTTTAGATGATAGCCATGTGCTGCATGTTCTTTCATAAATGCATCACTGTTATCACTGCTCAGTGTACACGTTCAGCTGGAGAATGATACTTAAGAATTAATCCCAGCTTTGTAATCATTGCAGGAGATGGGTGCCCTGAAGGCCCGTCTGGCCAATGAGCAGGTCAGTGTTGAGGTAGAAGCGGCTCAAGGGCCCGACCTGGGGGCCATTATAGCTGAGCTGAGGGTCCAGTATGAGGGCATCGCTCGCAAGAACAAGGAGGATGCTGAAGCCTGGTACCTGAAGAAGGTTGGTGTGAATCGCTCTTATTTCTGATGTGATTGTTTTGGAATGCAGAACCTGATAAGAGGACCCCTGTTTAACTGAAATCTGTCCACAGCTGGAGGCCGTTCAGTCTGAGGTCAAAGAAAGCAACGAGGCGCTCCGCTGCGCCCAGGGAGAACTCAGCGAGAGGAGACGCTTCCTGCAGGCCCTGGAGGTGGAATTGGACAGCCTACGAAAACAGGTAACCTGCTTTTTGCACATTTGAAGAATATACAGCACGGTACCCTTCAAAGGATTCCTACCCTTTGAACTTTCTCACACTTTCCTAAATTACATTATTTCTTTCATTGGGATTTTATGTGATAAACCAACACTTAGGATGGTTTAAAACATTTACAAACAAAGTGTTTGGGGTTATTTGTTTTCAGGTCTGAAAGGTTACTGTTTAAAACCACATTTTTTTAAGTGGTCCTGACAACAGCTACCAGTTATTCAGGATTCAATGCCAGTTTTTCTCCTGTTCTGTGTCCCATCTATTTAACAGAGATTGGTGTCCAAAAAAAAAATAAAAAATGTGTAGCTGATAAACTATGTCTGAAAATCTCACCTTTCATTGGATTTTCAGCAAAGTTCTAACAAAACATAACATCATAAATTAATGCTCATTCTCAGATAATGTTATCTTTTAAAAGCTTCCCAGATCTAACAAAATACTGTAAAAATGATCTGTCTTTGCTAAATGGCCCTCCATGTGATGAGGGAGATGTCTTCTTATTTATCAAAGATTCATTATAAAGTAACCATCATGCAAAGAAAAACCTCAACAAACCCTAAGAAACAGACTTTATACCAGTCCAGCTCATTGCAAATAAATATAGAAGGTATAAAGCTAAGTATATAAGTCACGTGAGCTTTCTCGTCAAGAAGTTCTCATCAAGGTTGGTGTTTTCCAATAAAAAAAAAAAAAAAAAAAAAAAGGTTCCTGTCATTAGAATCTGGCGGCTCATCCTTTTTAATGGAACTCATTCCCATCCTCACCTTGTCTCTTCTGAGGTGAAGAAATGTCAGGGTGCTTAGTGGAAAACAGCTGCTTACCCTTTGTATATGAAGAGCTATTTATGTATAGATACACAGAGTGTGGAGCGGGTTTACTAAACTACTGTATTCAATCACTATGTCAAGACGTTGATAGATACCGTTTGCTGCAGAAGCACAAAAAGCTTTTAAATGTTTGCTCAGTGTGATACCAAACCTACTGCATTGAATGGGTTGATGTTATTATGTCGACATAATATGTCAGTTTAAGTTGGGAGGGTGGCTGATGAGCTCAAACAGGCCAGTTTGCAAAGCAACACCAGGAATAGTGAGCCCATTGTTGGACCACTGTGACCCAGAAGCTTGATTTAACCTTTTATCATCATAGTGTTTCCACTTTTGCTTCGCTATTCCTACTGCTATATAAGCAGCACACTATTCAAGGAGCTTTCTTCTCTAACGATTGAAGAGGCTCAGTTTATATTACAGACAATCCAAATATTTTAGCTTTTCTTTGACCTGAAATGTAATAAATCTTATAACTCATCAGCCTTTTTTTAAATGAGTAGTAGTATAGCAGATGTCCCATCTTGAAGCCATAAGCTCAGACACAATTACAGCTGCAGCTTTTATGCAAGTGCAACCCATACCACCTTTGAATAGTGAAATTACACAGCCAAGCTGTTTATGTTCAACACCAAAAACTACAAAATTAAAGAAAATAAATTAAAATAAGGTATATCTACACTCTGCTTGTTGGAGACTGTGTTGCAGGGCTAGCAGGTCCAAAATGTAAAAGGTATAAATATTGGGAAGTCACTTGATAAACTGATACATTGCAAATACCTTGGTATTATCTGAACTGACTTTAATTATTGTCCCTATATTTAACACTTAGGATCTGGGTTTAATAAAACAAAAATAGTTTTTCAGCTCAAAAATAGGATTATTATTATTTTTTTAGAGTGCAGATAAAATACCCAGAAATAACTCTGCTGGAGTCCCAGGCCAGTTGGCTATGCGGTCATCCAGTGGCCACTCAACGGAGGATACCAGGGTGACATCACTAATCACTTACAGCTCTCAATGTCATTGAGTTCCCACAAATCCGACTTTGTTATAGAAAAGAGAACTGCCTCCCTTAATACCACATACAAATAAGCAGCCAAAAACTTCTTCAGGGCAAATATGAGAGATGATATTTAGAATAAAGGGCAAAGAGCCAAAAACATGTGTTGTAGTGAAATATTGACATCTTATTGTCACCTTATTTAATTTTATCAGGTCAGCGTGTTGGAGGGAAACCTGGGAGAGACTGGACACAAATACAGCATTGAGATGGACCGCCTTCAGACCACCCTGACGCAGCTGGAGGACGAGCTGTCTCAGCTGCGTCTGGACATGCAGCGCAACAAAACTGACTATGAGCAGCTTCTGCGCATCAAGCAGAACCTGGAGATGGAGATCGCTACCTACAGGCGGCTGCTGGAAGGCGAGGAAATGTAAATATGGAAGAGGGTTTGGGAAACATCAAAACAAAACAAAATATTCTGGGATGTCAGGATATTTCTGAGCAGAGTCCCAGGCAGACACAGACAGGACTCTACAGCAGCCAACACAGCACTTTTTACTATGAAGTATTCTGTAAAGGGGGAACAATACTAACACTGTAGAAAGAAACACATTACATTACATTTTGTACACACAACGTAAACCTAGTCTAGATTTTAATTACCTTTTTTTATTCTGTTAGACAAAATGTCCTCACTTCTTGCTGAGCATAACTAAGGATTGAAGCTGATGGAAAAATTGCAGACAATCTACCAATAACAGATGTATCGGGAATTGCATTAAATCTGGGATTTTAATACAGATCTCTAAAGTTCCATCATCAGGATGGCCAAGCTTTATTTTTTTAGAAAAGGTTTTGCAATCATGAAAGTGTTATTTTTCCATACTTAATTAATAACCTTTTGATCCTGTAGGCTGTTCTCAGCCTTGCCTTTAAATTTTCCTATAGAGCAGAATTTCCTATAGAGTTGTATTGAGCTAAAATAAAGCCAAATATATTATGGCCTCTTATTACTCTAGTAAATAGAATGAGGATGAAGGGCTTTTTTTTGTTGTTGTTTGTTTTTGCTTAACTTTGCAAAACAAGTTAGATAAGATACTACTATTTTGTCCGCCATTGAGAAAAACACCCACATTTGCACAAAATCTGAAAAAAATCAGTCTCTACATTTAAACATCTGACTAGGATATTTACATATTAAAACATATGTGCTGAATGAAAACAGTGTTTGCTTGTGGGGAGTAGCGGCCTAGTGGTTAGGGCATAGAGCTTGGAATCCTGAGGTTCTGAGTTTGAACCTCCCACAGACTGCCACTCTGGCTCTCTGAGCAAGACCCTTAATCCCTCACTACTCCCTGGGCACTGCACAATGGCAGCCTACTGCTCCCCAAGGGAATGGGTTAAATGCAGAGAGTTCATTTAGTTGCTCTGTACTTGCGACACTGAATGACAATAAATAGTTGGGGGAAAAATTATAGATTATTTTTTGGTATCCCTAATAATAGGTGACTTAATTTTTCTTTAAAATCTGTTCTAAAATATTTTTGTTTGTAGTTATAGTTTGTACTAATGCTTATTTAACTTTATTTTCCAGGGTGAAAGAAACACCCCCTCCTAAGAGTAAGTTCATATTATTACATTTCAAAAACAGCATCTTTCTGTAATAAATCTGTATCATCTAACATTATCAAAGGAAATTCCAGCAGGATGTAAGAATCTTTTTTTATTTGATAATGCAAAGGACCTGATCCCTTCTGAAGTCTTTCATGTGTTCACCTGATCCACACAAAAAAGGAACAATGTCTCTCTTTGTAATCCTTGTTTCAGTCACGGTGGCCCAGATCATCCAATCATTAGATTTCAGTCCAGCTTCATAATATCAATACCACACAGTAGACTGTATTTTCTTACACAGTGAACCACCTGCTTCAGTGTTGTTCCAACTGGCACTAGGGAAGCGTGACTCACCCTGTTTGGTTACTGTGTTGCAGAAGACCCCGAGGTCCGTACCAGGAAGATCGTAAAAGTTGTCACACAGACGGTGATCAACGGCAAAGTGGTTAACGAGTCCAGCGAGGTGGAGCAGATTGAAGACAGCAAGAAATGAGGCACAATGAAGCATGCACTGTTTTATTATCCCAACTTCCTGCTGACTGTGCAAAACATTCTGTTATTATCCGATGCTTTTTTGAACACTGGAAATAGAAGTGAAGATTAAAAGCTCAGGCTAAAAGTTTTTAATCATAGTTTACTTTATTTCAGTTGTTAGCATGTCTTTAATCTGCTCAAGTTTCGCATTCTTTGTTCAACTTTTACATTATTAGTCCTTCAGCTATTGGATGTATCTCTGGTCTTAGACTTTTGAACAAGTATTATTTTTCCTACAACTAAACAGTTTACAGATTCAGCTGGAAACATGTTTGATCTCAAGAGCTAAGATCTAAAGACAGGAGTGCAATCCATATATTTGACCAGAATTAGAGCTTCTGCAGATACTACTGCAATACAGACACTTTTTTTATCCAAGCATAAACGGTTTGAACTTTTTTTTTTCCAATCACTATATCTCACCCCGATTTATTTGTTTATAAATCAAATAAATGCTTAAGCTTTCACTTACTGTACAGAGTCTAAATCTCAATTAATAATTTCAGACGCTACCCAAGGATTGTGATTAAGGATAAGAATGGATATAACATTCATAGAAATTAACAAAATAAAGATTTGTGTTTTACTCTAATAACTCTATTATGCATAAAGGCTTAAATAGATAAACCCTTTAATAAATCATACTTCTTATGGCAATCAATGATCTTTTGCCATGCCGGCTTGATATTTCAAAACTGTTCTCTGCAGATTTTATCAATATTAAGCAAAAGATGTGGTTCTAAAGCATTGTCCACATTTTTCCATAAGGAGTGAGGCTAGGATTTCTTGAAAGATGTTCCAAAAGTTTAAGGCTGTTTTTTTATGCATTTTCAAACCAGTTCTGATTTATATTTGCATTGTCAATTGAGCCAAACTGACCTTTTCTGTTCAAAGAATATGGCTCAGAAAAATCTGGATACGTCAAGGGATGTCAAAACTGGAAACTGCTGGATGACATCACTAAGGCACATTCACCATTCACAGCTGCCAATACAGACGGGTCAGACGACACATAGACTGAGCCAAAACGACAGGATTGTTTGGAAAACCCAAACAAAGTTTGTCTTCCCGATAGAACAACACTAAACCGCCTATACGGCATGCTTGCTGTAGCATCATGGTATTTTTGTTTTACACAAACTGATGAATTAATGACTCCAACTACCATTCAGACTCTACTATTACAGGTTAAATTAGCAGCTATGATGGAAACTTGGACACAAATTGTTGTTCAGCCACGATAATGACACCAAGCATTTGAATTGATGTCATATTGCAAAGGCTCTACACCAAATGGGAATGAATGGGTTATAGGCTTATATGAATAAGCACTTAAGATGAGATCTGCCATATCTAGTAAGAGGATAGGCTAAATATACAGCAGGAACTTTGTCTGAAGCATGTGTGTGTGATAAGAAAGGGTCTATAAAAAGAAACCAAATGAAATGTAACCAAATATTAATTTAGGTATAAATAGGTGAATGGGTTTATGATTTTACCTCAAGGCAAACCAGATGAAAACTTGCATAAATATCGTGCTGCCAAAAGTGATCAAAGTTATATATTATAATCATTACTCCCCAAAAGAAATACTTGACATAAATAACAAAAAACCCGACAAATGAAGCTGACATGTATGAAGATGATAAGTGGATGTACATTTTTAACTGGAACTCTAAAAGAGACATTTAATTATCTTTTTTTGACTGGTAACAAATGAATCATTGAACAACCGTACAATAACATAAAAGTTCAAAATGTATCTCCTCAAGGATTTAAGCTCAAACTGAAACTCTGACTGATACTCAGAGAACAAAAGAAGAGGGTTTTTGAACCAGAGAAACACGATTTAGTCCCAGAAGGACACAAACAGCAGCAGTTTCACATTACAACCTGGGGTCCGTTTCACAAAGAACATTTACTCTTAAGTTTCCTAAACCGGAAATTAGGGAAACTCTTTTGTGTCAGAAAGAGAGTTTACTCCACATCTGTTTCAGTCACCGTAGTAACTTTCTCCTCAGAGCTAACCTGGTCGGGAGCAGGTTTTCTCTGCATGTTCACAACTTGAACTTCTTCTTTTTGAAGTCAGATTTATACAAAAAAACATCCAGACCTGAAGACAGAGCTGTGATGGCATAATGGTGGTGGGACACATGAGAAAAAGAAAAAAAAAACATCCAGAAGTTCTTGTTTTCTACCTGAAACTTGTCCCATGAAACCCGATCGAATTCCAGTAACAAATTACTCTGAAAGCAGTCACGCTGTCATTTGGGGATTTCTCCCACTTTGTGTTTTTAAGTCTAGTCACTGGAGCTTTTTGTTCAGTATAAGCTTCCCAGAAGTGTTTGTTTATTACGGAAAGAAACTCAGTATTCTTTCACAAACATCCCTGCATTGTGCTGCTGAACTTTAACCAATTAAGCGTTTGCTTTTCATGCATCAGTTCACAATCTGAAGCACATCGAGACATGTTGTCATCCAAAGCTGAAAACTGAAATCTATGTGTTCAAAGTGTTGATAAAAGATAGGCTTTGGCATTTGTGGACAAATTTTCAAACCAAAAGTTTTTGTACTTTTTTTCTAGTAGATTCCACCATATATTTTTTTCAAACCTTCTGGTATGTTGCCATGCACTCTAGCAGCCTCTGGAAGGGAACCAGGCCCACAGCATCACAGTGTCAAACTATTTTTACTATCTTTGTTAACATGTATGAGGACTGAATGGCTTCATCTAGCTTTGTTATATAAGGTTAAATTTATGTTAAAGGTGTGCAGCTATTTTCTCACTTCCATAACCCAAAGTATTCAGATTAAAAAATATTTTTTAGACCAATTTTGACATCCATGAATCCATCCACCTTAAACAGTCTTATAACTGCAGGATTGGGGAACGGATCTGGTGTCCTTTATTGTTTGAATGATTCAATGGGCTAACCTACTGTGCTAGTTACTGCAACACTAAATTAAACATCAATAGGCAGACTGATCAACAGAAGCATTTTTTTTTTCATTTAATTTGTAGGAGTAGAAGTTTCTGATCACTAAAATATTTGACTTGAAATAAAACATGAAATATTAATGAAGTAAAGAGTTGGATGTTTCAAAAATGTTCTTATTAAAAATGCAATCCATTTTTAGGCAGGAGTGTCAATTTAAGTGTAGTGATCTAGAGAGAGATTCAGCCTCGAATCTGTTGCTGATTTCTGATTGGAAGTGGAAGCAAAATAATTGCTTCCTGGTGGCCAATATGGGATGGAAACATCGCCCCCATGTGGATGCAGGACGTAACGACAACACTTGAAAGTGTCACAAATCAATAAAAAATACATTTGTCCGTTTTTTGAATAAAAACTGGTTCACTATTTTTCAATATAATGAACTCTTACTGTGCATCAGTTCTTTTTTTCTATCATCGAAACCATTTTAGTTTAATGGGAGCAACATTGTTTGCATTTTACAAATAAACTGTTGAAACTTAAAAAAAGGCTGAGTTAACTTTTTTAAATCATTAAGAAAAAAAGAAATGTGTTTAGAATAAAAAGTAAACCTAAATTGGCTTTAGTTTCTACGCAAAATCAGTCAGTTCCGTTTTGTAAATACATTTTATATTCAGATGTTCTTTTGCTTCTGATTGAGTTTTTTTGTTTTCACATCCAAAATTTATTATTTCTAATGTTTTAAATTTGGTGCTAATTCATATATATATATATATATTTTCTTGTTCGACAAGTATTGAATAACCTTAGATCAAAAAATAATCCTTATTTTCTTTTGAAAATCAGTTTTGCATTTCATAGAACCAATCCTAGTAGCTCAGGGTTCAGGTTTCTCTCAGTGAACTTCATTTCTTGTCAATTGTTTTTCCTCAAATCATTAAGTAATTTCCCTCTGGGATTATTAATGTATTTCTGATTCTGATTCTGATTGAAACATTGTCTTTGAAACATTCAGAGATTGAAGTGGATACAAAAAAAAAAAAAAAAACTTAACTACTTTAGACTTCTATTCATTTTATATGCTGGATTTATAGATGCACCAATGTTCTAACCTGATTATAAAATATATTCTGAGAAATATATGAATGTGAACCCGGAAGTTTCCGCTCAAGTGCAGCAGCCTGGTGCTGATTTGTATTCAATAAGAGAGCCTTAAATGAACCCTAAAAGTTACCTTACACTGTGAGCTCAGAAATTATGTTCAGCAATTTCTGATTTAAATTTCAAAATAATGTTCATTCAAGTAATGTACTAACAAAAATACAAATCAAAGAAATTAACACATATGCGGCCAAATAGAATCACTCATTAAACAAAGCAGATAGTCAATAAAACTCAAATATGCTCTCTATTAGCTCACAAAATTATCTGTCTTCACTTTGATATCAAAAATGGAATATCGATCAATAAATGAAAACAACTTTTCTATTAAAGGTTAATGCATAGTTATTATGATAGGGCATACTTGGCTTTAAGCTTGGATAAATTCAAGCATATGTTTCAGTTTTGTATCTCATTTTTGTCAACTCTTATTTTGAGTTTTACTGCAAGAAAAATGATTTAAGCATGAAAAGTTATTGATCTTCAAATCAGTATTTGTTATCTTGAAAAACTTATGGGATTTTGTGTAATTTATATCAAAAAAACAAATGTGGAGCTAAAAAGTGGACCTATTTCTAATCCTTCTATAAAACTTATAAATTTGCTTTCTCATCTAATCCATGTATAAATATTACAAGTCTAAGTGTTGCTGTATTTTAAAGAACACACCCTATTGCCAAATAGGTTGTGGTATATTGTTATACTTCTTATAACGAAACTCTTATGCGCTAAAGTCAGTCAAACTCTCCAATTTTCCTCACAGCTACATGTTTTATATAAACTCTCTGGTTGTTTTCTATTGGTTTATTGAGGCATTGGTGTTTCAGAAAGCATATTTATTTACAAATCAAAGCCAAAAGCCTTTTCTTTTCCCACCTTTCTAAGTTTTCAGGCTTCAGTATCTCCACTACTGCAGCCTACAAGCAGCACTTTGCCTCTAACATGTCTAAGGAGAGGGATTTGGACATTGTCCCAGCTTCTTTTAAACCAAGCAGAAGTGCAGGGATATTTTAATTTCACTTGTGTCCCTTTAAAAAAATAAAAACGTCCTGGGAAACCACTGTAGAGTTCTGTGTTTATGTTCACATAGTGCACAGTTGGCTGTCAGCCTGGCCGAACTCAATCATAAGTCTCAGCTTTTGCTTTCCTTTTTGTCAACTCTTATTTTCTGTGCTACTGTAAGAGTTTAGGCATGAAAAAAATCCTTCGTGTTTATTTCTCTAAATTTCCAAAGCACACCATTTAGTGGTGCATATTTCAGGAGTAAATGCATGTACTTAAGTTCGTCTTTGCTTTGCTTGGAAACCTGATACTAAATCTGGTTGTGCAAAAGCTTTTAAACAAAGTAAAATGCTGGCTCTGGACGATAT